ATTCATTGTTTGAGCTCCTAGTTGAAATCCCCAAAGTAACTTTCTCTATCTTGTTCCTTTTGCTTGCTTGCCCTTGCATTCACTTGCTCTGTGACTCATGCTGGTCTCCCATGTGGCCCTAGAGGGCCCATGGCCCGTGGCCATGCAGACCCCACACGCAGTGGCCTGCAGCTGGGAACACAAGCTACCCATCTAGATGTGGGACTGGACTTCAGTATGCAGCAGGCTCTGGGCAGTGGCTTTGATTCTCACTCTGCTGAAGACAAAATGGGACTTCTTCCTTTGTGGGAAGAGGGAGGTGGACTTTGGAGGGAGACTCCCTTAATCTTATATCATCAATAAAGCTTTCCACAGTACCTCATCTGCCCATGGGGGCCTAGGGAATTCTTGTTCCCACAGCACCCCAAGACGCCCACTTCCACCAGTAACAGGTGGGGACATAGAAGGGACCCCATCGATAACAGTATTTGTGTATTGGTCTTATATCTTGCAACCTTGCCAAGCTTATTAAATTATTTTAATAATTTTTTTAGTGGATTACTTAGGCTTTGTTTATTTTTTAATATATAAGAGCATGTTTGCTAATAGAGGTAGATTTTCTTCTTCCTTTCCAATTTAGGTACCTTTTATTTCATTTTGAACTCCACTGCCCTGGCTAGAACCTGCCCTGATACTAGGGGAAAAGCACCCAGTGTTTTGTCATCTATATATTTAAAAGTCTAAGCTACCGTTATGACCAGTTGAATGGTCACTATGACGCACACTCACCACCAGGGAGCAGATGCTCAATGCAGGAGCTGCCCCTGGTGGTCAGTGCATTTCCACAGCCAACCTCCCACAGCCAGCCAACGTCCCATGGTCCCTCCCCCCAGCCAGCCGGCTCTGATTGGCCCCAATTGCCAGCCAGGCCAAGGAACCCCACCCGTGCATGAATTCATGCACCGGGCCTCTAGTTAAGTATAATGTTACCTGTGGGGTTTTGTAGATGCCTTTATCAGGTTGAAGAAGTTCCCTTCTGTTCCTAGGAGAGCATAAATTTGGCCTTACTCTGCCTTTTTGTTCTACTCGGGCCCACCTGGTTTGGGTGATGCTCCTGCTCTGTGGGTCCATCTTTTTTATGCAGTTTTCTGATTCAAATGCTAATCTCTCCCAGAGACACCCTCACAGACACACCTAGAAATAATGTTTTACCAGCTATTTAGTCATCAGCTAGCCCAGTCCAGTTGATACATAAAATTAATCGTTGTATATCAACTAAGGCAACTGCAGATGAACTTAATACAAGGATTAATGGTCTCTTCATCATCCATATCTCTTTTCTCATTTAACTAATTCATCATTCCTGAGCTATGTGAGCTTCCCAGGACTGGACACCATGAAAGAACATTGTGTTGCAATACTACACTGTACTCTCCACTGCTCTGTCTTTAAGTGACACTCATATGTAATGAGAAGGGGACGTCTATGGTCTCTTCATGTACCTTCTGAAATTCGAGGAACTTTGTGATTTAAAGAAGTTTTTCTTAGTCATGGTTTTTGTAGTTACAATCTACAGCAATCTATGTCAAACTCAAAGGCTAACACGGGCCAAATAAACGAGGCATGCAAGTTTGATATGCTTGATCTACAGAAAGCAGTAACAATATATTGAACTTCCCCTAGCATAATTATAACTTCTAGGTAAACACTGAGCTGTTACAGGGAAGTTTTTGTTTCAATCACTATAATTGTTTACCAGCTACTTTCAGAACTTACTACAGCTGTACTTTATGTGGTGCTCAGGGGGAAGGGGAGGTAACATTTTTCAGATTCCTGTAAAATAAACCTAGTTTAGAACCACATTATTTTTCTAATTTTTAGATTTTGGGGGAAAAATATGTTTTAATTGATTTGAGGAGAGAGGAAGGGAGAGAGAGAGAGAAGAGAGAAAGAGAAAGAAAGAAAGAAAGAAAGAAAGAAAGAAAGAAAGAAAGAAAGAAAGAAAGAAAGAAAGAAAGAAAGAGAAAGAGAGAAAGAAATCAACTGAGACATGTGCCCTGACTGGGAATTAAACTGTAACCTCCTGGTTCATGGGTCGATGCTCAACTACCGAGCCACACCGGCTGGAAAATTTTTAGACCCTCCCTCCCCCCCCCCCCCGCCCCCAACACACACACATTTCAGTACTCTGAAATCAGGAAGCAGCTTAGCATCAATGTTTTATTATGGCTTAAGCAGGTTATTTTTTTCTTTCCTGTGACTTGTGAAATAATGATATATCTTAAATTCCTTAGTGTGTGGTGGTTAATATTATGTGTCAACTTGTCTGAGCCAGGAGGTGCTCAGACATTTGGCCAGACATCATTCTGGGTGTTATCTATGAGGGTGTTTCTGGATGAGAATAACGTTTGAATTGGTAGATCCAGTAAAGCCGACTGCTTTCCCTAATGTGAATGGGTTTCATCCAATCAAAGACCTAAATAGAACAAAAAGGCTAAAAGGGGAACCCTTCCCGCCTGTGCTTGAGCTGAAACATTCACCTTTTCTTGCTTTCTGTCTTGGACGGAAACATTGGTCCTTCTCGGGCCTCAAGCCTGCTATCATTTGGACTGGAATTACGGATCGGCCCTCCTGAGTCTCTAGCTTGCTGACTGCAGATTTTGGGATTTCTCAGCCTCCATCATTACATGAGCCAATTCCTTATAACAAATACGTAAATGTAGAGACAGCGATAGAGAAATACATACATGCTATTGGTTCTGTTTCTCTGAAGAACCCTAACACAGATGGGGTTCTGAATTTAATAAAATGCAGTAATTGAGGGTTTCCTCAATTCCTTCTCTAAATTCCTGGTGGTTGAACTGTATGTGAGAAGATCTACTCTTCTGTACAAGGTTAGTAGGACTGGGGTTTGGGGATTATCATGCCATGGGTGTTGCAGTAGAGAGAGACACAGGTTTCTTCCCACATCTGCTGTGTACTTCCTGTGTGACATCAGGTACGTCTTTTAATCTACGTGGGATTGGTTTCCTTATCTGTAAAAGGAGCTGGTTGGATGAGGTCATTTCAAAGTCCTTTTCCATTCCTCAGGTAGGTCAGTTAATCCACCTGGAATTGGTTTCTTATCTATAAAATGTGCTGGTTGGACTAGGTGATTTCAAAGTTCTCTTCCAAGTCTCAGGAATTGTTTCTTCTGTCTCAGTGAGGGGAGGTGGCCTAAGATGTAAATAATTAGATTCTCTTGCACAGCTAAAACAGCAGCAATAATGTCTAAATCCAGGCGTGCTGATTCTCTGCATCAAGACAGAGTCTGATGATCCATGTGGTTTCCTGGGTTGTACTGTTTGTGCAAAGAACAGTGGCCTTCAAATTAGAGTTTCCATAGAATTTGTAGTCAAGGTCAGGAATCATCACCTTCTGAAATAAAAATTAATGAGTTGATCCCAAGAGATTTGCCAGCCAGTAACTGACTTACATTGAGATAAGGCCAGTGGGCTCTATACATCCAGTAAAAGGTCTACATGTCTCCCTGGGAAGAAAGTGCTCAGTATAAAGAAAATAACAAGACCAGCATAAGCTATAGTTCTAGAAAGGATTACTTACCTTTGCTGAGAAAGGCTTGAACGGCAGGATATTTCAGTGACTGCTGTGAACTACTGGAGAGTGGGTGTTGAGAATCAGTTTTGTTTATGAAGGCAAGAGACATGGTAACTTGGCAGGCCCGAGTTTTCTAATCCTAGAAAAGCAGACAGGAGATTTGACTTTGGGTAGTGAACACACAATACAATATACAGATGATGTATTTTTGAGTTGTACCCTTGAAACCTATGTGATTTTAGTAACCATTGTCATCCCAGTAAATTTAATTAAAAAGTAAATATGAAAAAACACAAAGAGAAGCAGAGCCTCCTGAAGTAAATAGTGAGTGGAACATTTCGGCTGCCACCTAACTCCTGTGCTGAGCTTAGATTTGGTGTGACCCTTGAGCCTTGTGATTATATATGTATTGTCCCTGCACCATGATCTTAGGCTGGGGCGCCTCACGCAGCTGTTAGAACGTGATAAATTGACACCACTTTGACATTGATTGGTGTCTTAGGCACCTGGTTTGTGTGAACCAATCCCCAAGGGATTGTACCTGAGCAGCCCCTGGGGCTCAGCCCAGAGCTTCTGCCACCTTCTTTGTGGCTGCCCGGCCACATAAGAGTCCCAGGAAAGAAATATACCCCTAAAGGGCAATGGCATGCCAGAGAGAGAAAAGTACACCTGGCTGAAGGCTCACAGGTTGATGCAGAGATGCAGGGGTGGCATTGAAGATCCAGCGCCAGGGAAGCTCGGAAGCAGGACAGCACAGGAGTTTGCTTTGACTAGTGAGTGTACAGGTTGTGTAAGAGGACTGGATGAGATATCTGTTGCGACCGAATGTGGTCTGTCCCCTGAAATTCCCCAATGTAAAGTGGTTAAGCCCTTGACTGTTTTGAGATTACTCCATTTCAGTGGCTCAATACCAACTAGTGAGTCAAAGTTAACTTCTGGTGGTCATAGGACCCTGGCAGCTTATTAGCATCTGTATGATGTTGAAAGGGCAGCATAATCTTTTGCCTCATTTCTAAGTTTAGGATAATTTTCTTAACCAGAGGGTTTAGAAACAAGTGTGTGATCCTACAGGAAACAATTGAAAATCACAGATTATTAGTACTATATTGGGGGGAGAGGAGAATAAAACCACCACTAATCCTATTACCTGGAGAATCAGTATTGGTTGCTGATTCTTCCAGACATTTTCTATATGTTATGTGACTAAAAATATATGCCTCTGTGGGTCAATTTAATGTAATTTAATTTAATTTAATGTGATCAAACATACAGGTCTTTCCTAACCTACGTCTTCCCTTAGTTTCCCCTGGAATGTCAGCTCCTTGGCGCTGGGACCACATCCTTCATCAGGTCCTAGCCTATGCCCTGGGAGGCACCTCACACCAGGGGCAGTCACTAAGACCACGCTCTTCTTCTGCTCTCAGGTTGGCAGCCCCGGTGGTTCCTTCTCTGTGGGGGGATATTATCCTATTACGATTCTCCTGAGGACGCCTGGAAAGGCTGCAAAGGGAGCATCCAGATGGCGGTCTGTGAGATTCAAGGTGAGAAGGCAAGGGCGGTGCAGGTTTTATTTTTCCTTCTGTCCCCCCTCTCCCCAAAATTAGAAAGCACTGGTCTCTCCGTGCCTCTCTCTCTGCTTCTCCTATTGCAGACAAAAATACATAGTGTTATGTCCCAAGGTCGTCAAAATAAATGAGAGCAGTGGGCCTGACCACACATCTAATGCTCCTTCCTTAGTCACCTGCCCACCTGGGGCCAGTGGCTGTTTGCAAAGCTTATTTAAGTCTGTTCACTGCAGCATCTAACACTTCAAGTCACACGCACTTTCACCACCACCACCACATACTCAAAACCAGCAAATGCCGAACAGACCTACAGATAGCCTTCACCTCTTGGTTTTGGGAATCGCGAGATGTGGCTCAGAGCAGATTAGAAGAGAAAGACGAGAAGGGAATTTTTGGTTTGGGGGCTGGTGCGTGGTGGGTAAAGGAGAGTGCAGGTTGCTTGTTTCTTCTTCTGAGGGCTCTGAGGGAATTCTCACACTTTTGATCTGACTTGGGAAGGGAAGGGGAAAAGGAAAACATTGTGTTCTTGATCACTTTCCAGTAAAGCCAAGGAGATAGAGTGCCCCCTTTCTTGTTGGCATGCAAGCCGTTTTGACTCAGAGCAGCATATGTCACGCACACGAGCCAAAAGAGAGATGCCCTCTCTATTCCGATAAAAGATCCTAAGGAGAATTGGGTGATTGTTTTTTAGACCCGAATCTTGGTGTGATACCTTGGAGCCAATTGCAGGGTTTTCCCTCTTCATCAGCGGAGGCATCGGATGAGATGAACGAGCTAGGCGAGGTGGTAGGGGCTGGCATCCTCTCTCAGAAGCAGACTCCAGTGACCGGCACCAGCTGAGCTCAGGATGTGGTGGGTGGAGGCTACAGGTAGGGTTCTTCTGGGTTTCTGACCTCCCTCTGCTTTGCTCCAAGTTCATTCTGTAGATAACACACGCATGGACCTGATTATCCCCGGGGAACAGTATTTCTACCTGAAAGCCAGAAGTGTGGCTGAGAGACAGCGCTGGCTGGTGGCCCTGGGGTCAGCCAAGGCTTGCCTGACCGACAGCAGGACCCAGAAGGAAAAAGGCAAGTACTGATTGTCCTCTGGTCTGAGAACCGTGGGAGTCACCCACTGTCATCTCTGTTACCTTGCTTCTGACCACCTCGCCAGCTTTTTGTGTCATGCAAATGATGCACAACGCAGTGGCATTTAAACTGTGGTCTCTGTGAGCCAGGAGGTCACAGTTCCATTCCTGGCCAGGGCACATGCCTGGGGTGCAGGCCCAATTCCCAGTGGGAGGTGTGCAGGAGGCAGCCGATCAATGATTCTCTCTCATCATTGATGTTTCTATCTCCTTCTCCCTTCCTCTCTGAAATCAATAAAAATATATATATTTTTAAAATTAGTTAAGTGCAGCCTCACAGAAGCCATGGATGCCATGACCTTCAAAACTGGGACCCTGTCAACATTTTCAAATGCTGCCACTTCCCCAAAAAAGTCAAAGACTCTTGGGCCTGGTAACTGGGAAAATACAATATCTGGACCCCTGAAAGCGCAGTCTCTATAGCAAACACAAGACCCAGCTTGTTCCAGGCTGCATTTCTGTCGAGTGTGAACTGGCTCAGGCTTCATGCAATAACAGAGCTCTTCTATGTTTACTGGTACAACACCAAGGGGACCCCAATTCAAATGTCAATAGGCTTTATAGAAACAGGTTTTAAAGGACCACTGATAACTAAAGGAATGAACCATATATTTCTCTGTATGAAAAATATAAAAGGCTTTTCTGTATAATAAATCAGCTCTAAATGCAAAAACAAACAAACAACCCTGGTCTCTATCCAACACTCAGCATGTCAGAGCAGAAAGAGTGCAGGCTTTGGAGCCAGATACAATTGGATGCAAATCATGGCTTTGCAGGTAGGTTCCTGGCTTTGTGACCTTGGCCCAGGTCACTTAATCCCTCTGAGCCTCAGTTTCCTAATATTTTACAAAGAGGAAATGACCTACATTAGGATTACCACAAGAATCAGTGAGCCTGAAGCCCTGTGGCACCCCGTCTGGCCGAGTTCCCCTTCGGTCAAGAGTAGCTGAGCCAGAGAAGCCTTGGACCAGGGTGCTTCCTGCAGTGACACCCGCTTACCTCCCACCCACCCCGTCCCTGGGGTGGGATGGATGCTTAATTGTCAGGTTGCTGCTGCTCAGTGCTCATTAACTCGCCATCATTAGGTCTGAGAAGCAGGGCACAACTTTCTTTCTGGACTGGGTCACACATATGCCAGGGCTCACTGCCTGAGCCCTCATCGCCCCCTTGCCCCACATATACACCTGGAGAGATTGTGGGGAGAGGAGAGCCTCTGGAAAAAGTGTTTCAGGAAACCTTTCTCATGACAGATGTGGCAGATGCGCTTAACTTTTCCAGTAGACGCAGAAAAGTGGCCGCTTTGTTGGTGCTTCTGATGCTAAATCGGGAGTCAATTCTATCTAGACAGTGAGCTTTGACTCAGATCCGGTGGGAACATGCAGCATTTTTATGGAGGAAGAAACAGGCCGTAATGATTGTTGCTGAGCCCTCAGCACCGGGGTGGCTGGAGTGCCGAGCTAATAAGGGAGCAGCAGATGCACAGAGGGTGCTATTAGCCGTGACAGGCAGCGTGCTGGACCAGTCCTCGGAATTAATGAGCCGCCTCATTAGTGGTAATTGCACGTTACAGAACACCGTTTCCCAGTTCTGTGCACTGTGGTAGCAGGCAGAGGGCTGTGGCCCCATTTTACACACAGGAAAACTGTGGTAGAACTGAGACTAGAACTCTGAACCTGGACCCTGCTGCCAATTCTGACACGCGTGGGTCAGGAGTATGCTGTCTCCTTCTCCCTGTACCGCTGACCAGGCCATATGCTGGCTCAAGAAATAATGTGGATTATTTCCCAAGTCTGGCCATCTCCTCTTCTGTTTTCCTTGCTCCCATATCTTCACCTACACCCTGTCTGTAAGCCATACTATAAACACCTGACTTCAGGCGTAGGTTATATATTCCATGATCTGTAGGATATGCTAACTAATACATCGTGTATTCATTCTGATAATGACATGCATTGTCATCATTTTGTTATGTAGAGTTTGCTGAAAACACTGAAAACTTGAAAACCAAAATGTCAGAACTAAGACTCTACTGTGACCTCCTTGTTCAGCAAGTGGGAAAAACGAAAGAAGTGACCACAACTGGTGCGTCCAGTTCTGAGGTAAAATATTACTGCTCTCAGCCGCCTGCGAAGTCGCACCCGACGTTGCTTATAGGTGATGCTTACTCTCACTTCATCCCTGAATCTTGGATTTTACTCTTTTTCAGAGAAAATAAAATAAAATTTAACAGAGAGAACAGATATGTGCATTTCAGCCTATGGATGCATACAGCTTTCCTTCCTAGGATGAATTCGGGATTAACTAAGTAATTGCTAACATTTGGACCTGCCTGTTTTGTGCACGACACTGTGCTGGATAAGGGAAGGAGAGAGGCACCACAAAAAAAAACCATTCAGCCTCTTCTTGGGATGTTTATAGTCTAGAACAGTGACTCTCAACCCAGAGCAGTGGTGCCCTCAGGAGACATCTGGCAATGTCTGCGATGTTTTTCTGGGAGAGCCCAGCAGAGAGACTTGGTTACGTTTTTGGTTTTCTGACATGAGGTGTAACATGAGGGACTCCATCTTGGGCCCAATCTGGTTGCTTTAACACTACTAGGATGTGGTCACTGCACTCTCGAGTCAGGATGTGACCTCAGTTTCTGAACAACACATTAATGTCAATATCCAGAGGAAAAACACATTGAACAAGTAAAATAACTTGGAGAGGAAAAATGATTAGATATTCAAAAGAATTCCAGTTGCTGAAACCTGAGACTCATCTGAAGGGAAAGCCAGAAAACCCATCCTGAAAGCCAACAGCACGTTATCTGTGGTCTCTAACGCTTCTGTTTTAGAACCTCATTTTCACTCAGGCCATGGGAGACATTTTTCCAATGACACCACCGGTCTACAATCTCTGCGATCCCTGTGTCACGTCTGCCACCCCTGAGGACTGGAAACAGGGCCCTGTGCCCAGCACCTGGCACGGTGCTGGCATAGAGTGTTGTTGAGTTGAATGAAGTTGTTGCTCTCGGTTGGAGCAGTGGGTGACTGTGGAGGGTCAGATTGAGGGTACGGCTCATGTATGGTTAGTAGATAAGTTGGACTCACTCAGTGTTTTTATTTTATTTTATAACTGATGTACATGTTTGTCCTGCAGAATAGATGGGAATGGTATTATTATGGTTGTGGATAAAAACCTCTCAGGACATTCCGCAATTGGGCTGCTGCTTTTTCGCAAGGTAAAGAAGTCTTCCACTCTGCTTGTTTGGTAGGAGGGAATCGATGTGGGAACTCTGCTGAAATCAACGTGCAATACTTTTCTGAAGACTTTGGAAGAATGCATGCAGATTGCAAACGCAGCCTTCACCTCGGAGCTGCTCTGTCACACTCCCCCAGGGTCACCGCAGCTGGCCACGCTCAAGTCCAGCAAGGTGAGAGCCCTCTCCGCTCGGCGGCGGCAGCGGGGCTAATGAAAAGTTGAAACATTAAGAAAGTGGTGTACTGAGCTATGGTCTCCATTACTCTTTGGTGGCGGATAAAGACTTTTTTAGTGGACTTTCCTTTATGTCCACTTTTACATCTGCCCTCAGTTCCCCTTGTCCAGTCGATTATTTTTGGCAGTTTCGCCACCTAAACTTATCTCTGTAGCCAGCCTCTTCTCTCCAGCCTCCTTGTCCAGTGAGCTTCCCTGAGATTTGTGGTAGCTTTCTAACAGTCACCTTCAGCCTGACCCTTCCAGGCAGCTGGCCAGTAGTTCTTTTCATGTGGTGTAAATTGGACCACTCTACCAAGCCTTTCAGGTGCTCCCTCCTTGCCTGCAGGGTAAAGTCAGAACTTCTTAGCCCCTTCCCACATCCCCAGCCACTTTGGCTGTCATTACCTGGCTCAACCGTGCTAACTGCTTGTAGCTCCCCCCATCTCGGTGCCATTTCCCAGGGCCAAGAATGCCTCTCCCCTGTCTCTCGTGGTTAGCTCTGATCCATCCCTCAAGATTTAATCTCTTCCCCGAGTCCCTAAATGGGGCTGAGAACTCCTCTGCACACCTTCATTTTAACCTTACTCTACAGTGCAGTTACCTTAAGGCAGTGGTTCTCAACCTTCCTATGCCGCGACCCTTTAATACAGTCCCTCATGTTGTGGTGACCCCCAACCACAAAATTATTTTCGTTGCTACTTCATAACTGTAATTTTGCTACTGTTATGAATTGTAATGTAAATATCTGATATGCAGAATGTATTTTCATTGTTACAAATTGAACATAATTAAAGCATAGTGATTAATCACAAAAACAATATGTAATTATATATGTGTTTTCCGATGGTCTTAGGCGACCCCTGTGAAAGGGTTGAGAACTGCTGCCTTAAGGGCAGGAACCCTATACAGTACTGCATCAGAGTTTGGTATTTATTAATGTTTAATGAGAATAACTGAAATTATAAGGAAGTAAACCACCAAGGTTTGGCTCTGATAATTAGGCCCTTCAAAAGGCCACCTTCCTTTTCCTTAGAAATTTGGGTACCTTATTTGAGTAAATATGAAGGGCCGGTTGGGAAGAATGACTCCCTTTTAGGAAGATCTAAAATTGTTCTAAAACCGGGGCATTGCATGTGAAGGTCATATTTATCACTTTCATATGTGACAAAACTAAAAATGCTCTATTGGAAGTTTAACATGTAAACGTTCATCTCTTTGCTTCTTTTAAAGATGAAACATCCTATTGTACCGATTCATAATTCATTGGAAAGGTACAGTAACTTCTTTGTTTTTTTCTTCTTCCTAAAAGTAAAAAAAGATATTGTTATTCTTGTTTTTTAAAAAATAAGGATATTTTGATCATATGGTGGTTTTTCTCATGATTTGAGATGATACCCAAAGGAAACAGTATCTGATTGCCCTCGTTGGGGTGAGCCTGAAGCAGTGGCAGACCTTGCATTCCGCAGGGACTCCCCGGGAAGGTGTCTGCATGTCCCCTGGGCTGCCCAACTGCTGTAACCATCACTGCTTTTCATCTCTCCAGTGCACTGAGGGTTGGCACTGCCTCTCTTGTGGAGGAGCTGGGCTTGGATTTAAGTGTGCTTTAAACTGGGAAGGACAGTGCTATTTTTTTAACATAAAAATAAAAATCTTATGTAGCTTTACAGGTTGAAAAAAGAAATAACATCAAAAGCTAAACTATTTCTTCCTCCAAAGGCTGCTTTGATTTAAAAAAGGACACATTTACATAGTTATGTTCCTAGTAATTGGGATCTTTACTCCGTTATTATTTGATATAAGCATTCCCAAATTTTTACTTAGTATATTTGTCCTTTAAAGTTATTATTTAACATTTTACCTCTTTATGTATATTGTTTACTTCTTTAATACTGGATTGTTCCCAATTTGGTTGTTAAAATTTTTCTCCTGTCCTAAATATTTCTACTAAGAACATCTTTATCGTTTTTTTTTCTGTTGAGGTATTTCCTTAGTATACTGTATTTTTCATTACTAAGTTGAAATATGATATTTCTTTAGAAAATAAAAATTTCTTGGAGTCATCATGCAGCTTGGACCCTTTCCCTTTATTTTTATTAGAAGAAAATTTTTTTCTTCTAATTTGGCTCATCCTAATCCAGTGATGGCGAACCTTTTGAGCTCGGCGTGTCAGCATTTTGAAAAACCCTAACTTAACTCTGGTGTCATGTCACATATAGAAATTTTTTGATATTTGCAACCATAGTAAAACAAAGACATATTTTTGATATTTATTTTATATATTTAAATGCCATTTAACAAAGAAAAATCAACCAAAGAAATGAGTTCGCGTGCCACCTCTGACATGCGTGTCATAGGTTCGCCATCACTGTCTTAATCACTTATAATAAGATGTTATAATTGTCCCTTTAACAGAATCAGGTTTTCACCTGTATGTTAAATTGCCTTCTCCGGTTCCCTGAAGAGCAGCAGAACCTCAGGATGTTGCTTTTCCTCCACAGTTTTATCTGTCACACATACTTGGCAGGGATGTTTGTTCTGCCCTGATCACAGCATGTGGCTTCTAGACAATTACCTGCTAGGCAAACACAGGGAAATGGCCAATGATTTTGAGAACTGAGAGAAAAAAAGTGTTAAGTTTGGTCCCTGCAGAAAGCTGATTGGAAACCAGGGACCTGTCAATGACTATTTCCTGTTGCTGGTGGGGAGCAGGAAGTTTGAGTCCCTAGAGGTGCCAGAAGAGCCATGGCTGGCTGTGATTTCTCAACTTCAGCCTGGAGACTGGCCTGCTCCCCTCACAGGGATGGGGGTGAGAGATTTGACCGATTTAACAATTCTATTTTTCAATCGATGTAAATCCTTCCCCCATCTCTCAGAATCAGATCTACCTGGACAATCTATTTCTGACCAAATAATTGGATCTTCTGGTCTTTTTCTTTTTTAAAAAAATTCCCAGGCAAATGGAGTTAAACAGTTGTGAAAATGGATCTTTAAATAAGGAAATAAATGATGATGAAGAAATCCCAATGAAAAACAAGAGTTCCTTGTATCTGAAATCTGCAGAGATCAATTGCAGCATGTCAAGTGAAGAAAATATAGACGATAATATAACAGGTAAAGACAGACTTAAAGTCTGAAGTGAACCCTTGAACATTAGGATGTTGGGGGTTTGATCCATTATCCCTGATGGGACACTTGGTGGGAATTGAGCTCAAGACAGTGTCCTAGGTAGCTCCTGAGGCAGGTGAATTAGCATTAGCGGGACAACAGGTCCTTGTCAGCCAATATTCCGCCTCCATCTGACCGGTGCAGAATTCTGGCAGAAAGAAGAGGGATTGTCCCACTCACTGTTCTTGGCCATGACGTTCATGAACTGCAGTGAGCACAGCTGCCTGCACTAACCTTTTAGAGAGCGCAAGTATTTCATGGGCCTTCTACTCTGAATCTCAAAGTCCTTTGAACTTAGACCATGATGTCAGACTTAGGAGTGTGAGAAGTTATGACAGTTCAGGTTTCCATCCTCCTCGTTTCTGGTGAGGCCTGAGTATGTCAGAATTCACTAGCCACATCAGGTTTCCCCGGCCTTCTCTGTGTTTAAGCCAAAGTCCCACATTTCAGGTCATAGCCTGCAGTTCAAATGCTGCCCTTTCAAATTTGTTAATTCCATTGACTCTACCCTAAGCCAACTTCGGATCAGTCCAAGACAACAGTAGTAGAGCTTTTAATTGTGTTATAGGTTTTAATAAATATTTTAAAAATAAAATTGGAAAAAAAAAAACTGTCTTCATTTCTCTTGAAATCAGAGACTCCATTTTTCCAGATAAGATGGGTTTAGAAAAGAAGACCTATTTTCATAACTGTGAATATAAGGCAGGTGGCCCACATATCACTGAAGTCTTGTCCCTTAAGTAAATAATAAAGACAGGAGAATTTCTATCAAAACAGTACTGTTGTTTGGCCCAGTAATTTTACTTCTAGAATTTGTCTATAGGGATAGTCAGATTTAAGGACAAATCTCTGTGCACAAAGATGTTGTTTAGGACATTACCGTTGATTCTCATTATTCATGGTAGTTAGGTTCTGTAAAACCATTGCAGACACTGAATTAGCAAATACTGAACCATTGCTCCAAGGGGAGATTCAGAGTTAGGGTCCTGCAAGCCTCAGTTGACAATGTTTCTGTCCACTGATCAACCTTGTTTTATGTGTTTCCGTTTTAAGACACCTTGTTTACTATATATTGTTGATTCAGTAACATTGAACCCATGGCCAATAGCTCTACAGCACATGCCTGAGTCAAGCTTATCTAACATACGCATTTTCTCCATAAGGCACATCACAGCCTTGTGCATCACAGACAGCACTATACTTGGGGGCCCTTTTAAACAGTGAAATCAGCAACGAAGTGCACAAAAATGCACAAAATGTGGTATCAAAGAAACATTTGTGTACAGTATGGGAGCTGAAATAAGAAGGCAGAGTGTCACTTGTTTATCCTTAGCTGGGAACATGTATGTCAGGTGACTCAATTTTTCACCACTCTGCACATGTCCACAAATGACTGCAAAAGTGTGATAAGCATTGATTTTAGGGTTACAAATAAACTTTAGCAAGTAGGCAAACTTACAAATCCAGAATACATAAATAATGAGGAGTGACTATTTCTAATACTAAAATTTTAGAAACTACCTAAGTGCCCCCCACATGATGCAATTTTACATAGTCATTAAAGTCATGTTTTGAAGAGTATTGAATGATAATGAAAGTACTTTTGATACAGTGATGAAAACAAGCAAGATACAAATCTACATATATTTAAACCTAATTTTGTGTGTGCGTATATGTGTGTGTCTGTGTGTAGAATTTCAGATTTTCATTTCTGTGTGCTTTTATGTGTTTTAGAAATGTTCTGCAATGAGTATATATAAGTTTTTATAATAAATAATGGATTAATAATAAGTATCTTCTACTCTGCAGTCCAAGGTGAAATAATGAAGGAAGATGGAGAGGAAAACTTGGAAAACCATGACAACTTGGCCCAGCCCGTATCAAACTCCTCAAGTAGCTCTCCGGAATCCCACTGGGAAGAAGGCCAAGAAGTTATCCCGACTTTCTTTAGTACCATGAACACCAGGTATTCTATACTCTCTAACATCACTGAAGGTGGATGCCTTCTGGGAGGTCAATCCTGGTGTTCCTTTCGGGTGGTGGTGTGTTCTAGCAGAATAGAGAACCTGGTCTGATTTACTGTTTACTCTGTGAAGCAGTGGACAAGAAGGAACTGGATTGTGAGAGTATACTCTAGACAAATTATAGTTTGCTTTGATGGTTAGCTTTGGAAAATGATGTTGTATTTAGACTGTACTGTAATAGGAAAACAAACACCTGGCTTATGTGTAAAATCCGGCCAAATGACTTGCCCCGTAGAGGCAAGCTGTTTTCATGACTACCTCCGAACTGCAGCAGGTGCTAACTTTTTTGCATTCTTTCCTCCTCCTTATCACCAAATGGCTTAGCTTTAGTGACATTGAACTTCTGGAAGACAGTGGCATTCCCACAGAAGCGTTCTTGGAGTCATGCTATGCTGTGGTTCCAGTGTTGGGTAAGGTTGCTGCATTGCCTTAAATTGATTAGTCTAGACTCTGTGTCACAGCTGTTATATTGCATCAGAGATCTGAACTGTGTGGACAGTGAGATGACCCTTCTTAGCTACCTCTTCATGGCACCGCATGACCTGAAGCATTGCTGCATATTCCCATTTCTTCTCTAATTGTGAATAAATAGTGACCACCGAGAAGCATCATGAAGAAGGGGAATTCTGTTTTCTAGAAGTCATAATTAAAAATGAAAGTGAAAGTCATTGAGGAACAGACCTTCAAATCCATTGGTACTATGAAAAAAATGCTTACCAGTTAAAACGTTTTTTCAAAGATAAAGTTATAGCTATAATTTTTGTTAAGTTCAAATTATATTTACTTTATTTTTATAGAGTCACTAGTACCAGAAATCGCTCATATGTTGAAATTGGTTATATGACCCAATTAACAGCATCTTTTTTTTAAATTGGGGTATAACTTGCATAGAACTTAAGTGTTACGATCCCAGTAAGTTTTGACAAATGCACCTACTTATGTAATACGCATCCCTGTCAAGACAAAGAATGTTTTCATCACCCAGAACATTCCCTCTGCCAGTCGGTCCCCAGCCTGTCACCCAGCCCGGGGCAACCATTTTACCGCTTTCTGTCGCCACAGATTAGTTTCACCTGGTCTAAAATCCCATGTATATAAAGTCATGTTATAAACCCTTTTGTGTCTGGCTTTTTCTCTCAATATAATGTTTTCACCCTTGTTGTTACATGTGTCAACAGTTCATTTCTTTGTGTTGCTGAATAGTATTTTGTTAAGTGAATTTAACCCTTTGTTTATTCATTCTCCTATTGATGGGCATTTGGGTAGTTTCTTGTTTGAGGCTACTGTAAGTGAAATTTCACTTACAGTGAAATTTCACTTTTACTATAAGTGAAATTGCCCTGAACATTTTTGTGTCAGTGGCATGTGTTTTCCTTTCTCTTGAACAAATGCTGAGGAGTGGACTTGCTGATTCATAGGGTTCACATGTTTAGCTTTATAAAGGCAGTTGCTCAATTGTACACTTCCAGCAGCAGCGTGTGAGTATTCTGGTTGTGTCACATCTTCACAGACACTTGGTGGTGTCAGCATTTTTGGTTTTGGCCATTCCTGTGTTTAGTGGTATCGTGTTGTGGCTTTAATTTGCCTTTCTTTGATGACTAATGATGTTAAGCACTTTTTCATGTAATTATTGGTCTTTGCTATTTGTTACACTGTGACATCTATTTAAAACTTTAATCCATTTTAAAAGGTTAATTTTATTTTTATTATTGACTCATAAGAGTTCTTTATATATTCTGAGTAACATTCCAGTGTAAACATACACATTATGAGTATTTTTCCCCAGACTATGGCTGCCCGTTTCTTACTGAGATCTTTTGAAGAGCAGAGTTTTTAATTTTCATGAAATCCAATTGATCTGTTTTCTTTCTTTTATAGTTAGTGCTTTCAGTGTCCTAGAAATCTTTGCTTACCCCCAAAGTTATGAAGATATTCTCCTTGTCATCTTCTATAGTCTTTACTTTTGATTTTGATTTTTCCATCTATAAGTCATCTTGGAATTAGTTTTTGTATATAGTGTGAAGGAAGTGTTGAGATTCTTTTTATTATTATTACTAGAGGCCCAGTGCACAAAAATTTGTGCACTGGGGGGGGGAGGGGGGCCCTCAGCCCGGCCTGTGTCCTCTCACAGTCTGGGACCCCTTGGGGGATGTCCACCTGCTGGCTTAGGCCCACTCCCTGGGGGATTGGGCCTAAGCTGACAGTCAGACATCGCTCTGGCAACCCGGGAGCCCTTGGGGGATGTTCACTTGCCAGTGGGGAGCAGGCCTAAGCTGCAGTCGGGCATCCTTAGCGCTGCTGAGGAGGTGGGAGAGGCTCCCACCACCACCACTGTACTGGCAGCCATCCGCCTGGCTTGTGGCTGAGCAGAGCTCCCCCTGTTGGAGCGCACTGACCACCAGGGGGCATCTCCTGCATTGAGCGTCGCCCCCTGGTGGTCAGTGTGTGTCATAGTGACCAGTCATTCCCAGTCGTTCTGCTGTTAGGGTCAATTTTCATATTACCCTTTTATTATATAGGATAGAGGCCTGGTGCATGGGGGGGGGGGGGGGGGCTGGTTTGCCCTGAAGGGTGTCCCGGATCAGGGTGGGGGTCCCTCTGGGGTACCTAGCCAGCCTGGGTAAGGGGCTGAGGGCTGTTTTCAGACTGGCCATACCCCCTTCAGGGTGGGGGTCCCTGTTGGAGTGCCTGGCCAGCCTGGGTGAGGGGCTGAGGGCCGTTTTCAGGCTGACCACACCCCCTTCAGGGAGGGGGTTCCTGCTGGGGTTCCTGGCCAGCCTGGGTGAGTGGCTGATGGCTGTTTGCAGTCTGGCCACAGCCCTTTCAGGGTGGGGGTCCCCACTGGGGTGCCTGGCCAGTCTGGGTGAGGGGCTGATGGTTGTTTGCAGGCTGGCCAAGCCCCCCAGAGGGGACCCTCATCCCATGAGGGTGTGACCAGCCTGGGTGGGGGCTGATGGCTGTTTGCAGGCTGGCCATGGCCCCCAGCCACCCAAGCTCCCACTGGAGGCTGGCTGGAAGCAGGTATCTGGGATTTATTTATCTTATCTAATAAAAGAGAAACATGCAAATTGACTGTACCTCTGCTACACTCACAGGCCATGCCCACCAGCCAGTCATAGTGACTATATGCAAATTAACCCAACCAAGATAGCGGCCGGCAGCCACGGAGCTGGAGCAAGCAGGATGCTTGGTTGCCCCGGCGATGGAGGAAGCCAAGCTTCCTCCCTGCCCTGGCTGGCTGTAGCCTCTGCTCAAGGCAACAAAGTTTCAATTATAGAAGATGGAGGCTGGCTGGAAGCAGGTATCTGGGATTTATTTATCTTCTATAAGAAGATAGAAGCTTGGCTTCCTCCATCACTGGGGCAACCAAGCCTCCTGTTTGCTCCAGCTCCGTGGCTGCCGGCTGCCATCTTGGTTGGGTTAATTTGCATATAGTAGCTATGATTGGCTTGTGGGCGTGGTTTGTGAGTGCAGCAGAGGTACGGTCAATTTGCATATTTCTCTTTTATTAGATAAGATATCTGGTTCTTCCAGAACCATTTGTTGAATAGCCATTTTTTCCCTTTTACATTACTTGGGCAGCTTTGTTGAAAACCAATTGACCTAGTAAGCATGGGTCTATTTCTGGACTATCTCTTCTGTTTCTGTGATCTATTTGATTTTTCTTATGCCAATACCTCAGTGTCCTAATTACCGTGCATTTACAGTAAGGCTTGAAATTCGATAATGTAAGTCTTCCCATTTTGTTGTTCTTTTTCAAGATTGTTTTGGCAATTTTAGGTCTTTTGCATGTCTACATAAGTTTTAGCTTTCCAGTTTTATTAAAAAGCCTGTTGATACTTTTATTAAGATTACATTGAATCTAAGCCAATTAGAAGGGAACTGACATTTATCTTAAACATTGAGTCTTCTAATGCTTGAGCATACTGTATCTCTCCATTTACTTGGTTATTTGTTATTTTCACAACAATGTTTGTATCACTTTCTTAGTATAAAGGTCTTATACATCTTTTGTTAGAAATAAATTTTAGAATTTTAATAGTTTTCATGCTATTGTAAAAACGATCCCATTTTCCAGTTGTTCATTGATAGCACATAGATACCATTGACTTTTGTACATTAAGTTTTTATAATCACGAAGAGTTAACTTTAAAATATGTTTTCTGTATTTATTGAAATTATCAAGTGTTGTTTTTCCCCCTGTACTTTGTTAATGTAGTGAATTACATTGTTTGGATGAATGTAAGTCTACTATCTTGTTATTTGTTCCTATCATCTTGCTGTTTATTTTCTATTTGTCCTATCTGTTCTTTGGTCCTTTTTTACTCCTTTCTTGACTTCTAGCCAATTAATGTTATTTTTTAGTATTCAATTTTATTTCCTCTTTGGCTTTTTAACTACCTATCTTTGTTCCTGCCTTTCTTTTGGATCTATCAAGTATTTTTTAGAATTTTATTACATTTTCTCTTTTGGCTTTTTAGCTCTACCCAATTGTGTTATTTTTTTAGTTCTTGTCCAACAGAAATATCCAAACCACATATGTAATTGTAAATTTTCCAGCAGGTACATTAACATAGTAAAATAAAACAGTTAAAATTAATTTTTATAATTTATCTAACCTCATATATTCAAAATATCATCTCAACATGTAATCAATATAAAAGAATCATTAATTAGAAACTGCATTCCTTTTCGGCACTAAATCTTTGAAGTCTGGTATGTATTTTACACTGACAGTACATTTTAGTTTGGGCTGGCTAATTGCAAGCACTAAGTGGCCACAAGTCTAATGGCTACCACATTGGACAGTATAGCCCTAAGGATTATAATATGTATTTGGAGTTTATAGGATTATTCTCTTCTGCCATTTAGGACCTTATTATAGTTACTCACCTCAGAGTAGCATAATAGAAAAAGGTGATGATAGTATCCTAGGTGCCTTTGAAGTTTATGTTTAGAAAAGGATTTAAAAGCAAAAACTATAAGGTTTTTTGGGGGAGGGAGGGAGAAAACCTGCTAAATTGGTTGTTACTATAAAAATAGTTTCCACTTGAAAATATTGCTTTTTCAAAGATGTTTTTAATTTTTTCTTTCAGACAAACTTGGCCCTACAGTGTTTGCTCCTGTTAAAATGGATCTTGTTGGAAATATTAAGGTGAATATACCAGCTTGTCTCTGGGGAGACTACAGTTGGCGGAAATAGTTGCATGAGATTCCATTCACAAATAGATGATTGTTGCGTTTGATCTCAGAATAGAAAGTATAGGACAGCTGTGAGAAAGGTTCTGGAGCAGAACAAAAATTACTTTAAAAATAGTACTTTAAAATGCTGAGACTATTTAATTCTAGCTTAAGCCTCATAAGAATTCTCAAAATAATAATAATAATAATAATAATAATAACCAAATCCTGAAAACATAAGGAAGAAAGTAATAGAGAGGTTGCATTTATTTTTATTTCTTAAGAGGCCTGCTTGACAAACTCAAAAGTCTCAGTACTGCCCTGACTGGTTTGGCTCGGTGGATAGAGTATCAGCCTGCGGACTGAAGGGTCCCAGGTTCAATTCCGGTCAAGGGCATGTACCTTGGTTGCGGGCACATCCCCGATGGGGGTGTGCGGGAGGCAGCTGATCGATGTTTCTAACTCTCTATCCCTCTCCCTTCCTCTCTGTAAAAAATCAATAAATTAAATATTTTTTAAAAAGTCTCAGTACTATGCTGATTCTCTTGGTGGCTCTAGCATTTTGAACTTAGATTGTTTCCCTGCTTTTCCTGCAGAAAGTGAATCAGAAGTATATCACCAACAAGGAAGAGTTTACCACCCTCCAGAAGATAGTGCTGCACGAAGTGGAGGCAGATGTAGCCCGGGTTAGGAACTCGGCTACCGAAGCCCTCCTGTGGCTGAAGAGGTGGGGCTGCTGGGGTGGGCTCGCACTTAAAACTCAGCAAAGCAGTTGTAATGGAAAGGAGACTACTGAGTGGAGGGTCTGGCCGACGTGCATAGCCTTTTCCAGAAGGTCTAATGAATAAAACACCGTATTTGTTTTGTGGGGTTTTTTTTGCTTTGCCTTCCTCTTGATGTTGATAAACATTGTAAATATTAATAGTATACACAAGATTAAAGCATGATAAAGTTGACTGGTTTTGCTTTAAGTCAGTGGATCACAAACTCTACGGACATCAGAGCCACCTGGAGGGCTTGTTAAAAACATAGTTGCTTCACCCCAATTCCAGTTTTTGACTCAGTAGGTCTGGAGTGGGCCACAGAATTTTCCTTTTTGGCAAGTTCCCAAGTGATGCTGAAGCTGCTGGCCCTGAGACCACATTGTGAAAACCCCTGTTTAGCCATACAGCTGAGAAGGGCCAGAGCAAGCTGGAGGGAACAGACAGAGACACCGGAAAGGCCTGCCATGACTCAGTCTTCTGGCTGCTGAACCCAAGATATTATTGGAAACTGACTTAGAAGACTGTACTGCATTTGTGCAAGCTGTGCTAGCCAATGTGGCAGCCATTAGATTTGTGGCCACTTCGTGCAAGCTGAGCTCTGCCGTTTCTTTCTACCCATTTAACAGGAGTGAATTTTGAAACTAATATTTCTTCCTCTTTCTTGTTTTAGAGGTCTCAAATTCTTGAAAGGATTTTTAACAGAAGTGAAAAATGGAGAAAAGGATATCCAGACAGCCCTGAGTAAGTGTTCTTTGCATTTCGATGGGTCGATTGAACAGGGTTTGGAATGGAGGCCCTGGAGGAAGAGACAGGGTGGAGGGGAAATTCTGCTCTTCAGGTTATGATTTTGTTTATTTTTGTTCGTCACTGTTGTTTGTTTGTTTCTTACATGCTCGCTTTAAAAAGAATCCATGAGATAGTGACCTGATCATCTAGATCTAACTTATTAAAAATTAGTGTATCTTAAGGGTTAAATTAATGGCGAGCCATTTCTTAATCTTAATAGGAAAAACTAACATTTCCAAGAAGTTCGTTCTTCCTAAATTAATCTTCAAATGCAGTAGTCTTCTAAAATCAGTATCCAAAGAGAAGCTTATTTTGGAGCCCATGAAAGGAAGGGGCTGGGGAGCCCTGGGAACTTGCTCTGGCGTGAGATGAAGGATTGGCCATTAAATTGTAGTCCTTTCATGCCCCCTTGCTCCATTGCAGTGGCAGAGCCCAGACTGAGGTCAGGGCCGTAGTCAAAAGACGAGAACATGGTGGGTGCTTAGAAACACTCATGTGTAGGTGGGTGGATAGATGGATGCATCCGTGTGTCTAACAGGTCAGTTTTGAAAAACATTAAAGACTTGGAAGCATCCTCATAGTGCTCCTAACAGTGGCTGAACTCTCACTCTTGTCCTAGAGGAAATTCTTCCAGCATGGGCCCTGAGGCATGGGGTGTGGGGCGTGAAATTCCCTATGACTTTGAAGCCATGATGTGGAGAAGCACATGGTCAGGCTCTAAGTAGCCATGGTTAGAAGCAGTGAAATGAATGAGTTTGAGGCTTCTGTTGGGCAGGGGAGCCAGTGATCACTGCAGCATTTTGTCAGTCTCCAGGTGAATTTGTCTCCTCCTATTAGTCCTTCCTCTGGACCATAAGGCCTGAGGGATTCTGCTCCCACATGATTTTCCCAGACCTTTCTCTCTAGAAACTTGCTGATGTGCCATGAAACAGCAAAAGCTGATATTTGTGTAACTTTATGAAGAATTTAGACAGGTTAATCCTCAAATCAGTCTATTTTTATAGGTCAGGTAACCACAATTCTGAAAGATTAACATGCATGCTAAGACCACAGAGTTTGAATCAGAGCCACTTTAGGGCCTCTGCCTCCAAGGTCCTCATTTCCCTGACAATGTCTCCACCATCCTGGGGCCACCTGCATTTTTTGGTTTCTCAGACATCCCTGAATTTCCAGGACAGTCTCAGTTATGTTCTCCCCTTGGTGTCCTGATTTCAGTACTAAAAGTATACTCATCATAACGGGTCACGCCCCTAACCAGTATCTGGGGAACTTGTTGGCCTGTGGCATGGTGAAGATCATGGGCTCTCTGCATCCCACCACTTTATAGCATTGTGCCCTTGGTCAGTTTGTTGTCGGTGGGTATCAGGCTCTTCCACAGGATCAAGAGGAAAGAATTCCAAGGACATGCATGACAGATTGTGGTGTGGTGGCATCGTTTACTCGTGAGGTAATGTCGAAAGAGTTATCCGTCTGGCTTCCCAATGTCCCATCTCTGTCGGCCCCACCATGGAGAAAGTACAACTGTGTCTTCGCCAGGGCAAAGGCCGGTGCACAGAGTTTCTGCTTCCTAATCCTTCAGAACCTGTGCAGTGTCATGGCCCCAGGCGGCCACTGGACCCACGTGGTCAGGTGCTCCCCAATCAGTTCCCAAACTTTCGAGGGCTTGCATTGGCTCCACCCCCTTTGCCAATGATCTTTTTCCCAGGTGAGACTGGAATGCCTCTGTGGTCCAGCACCTCCCCCTGCACCATTTTAACTTCATTGCTGTTTGTGCTTACCTCCCCTTTGTTCTGTCCCTTCCCGCAGTGACCTGTGGGGGGAATGGACCGGTGGCTTCCTGCAGGGAGTGGGAAGCTGTAACTTCCTGGGTTCGCAGACAGGTCTCTGCTTCCCAGGTGACCGTGCTCTACAATGTCTGACTTCCCTTTGCTCTTTTCTTTGTTAATCACTAGCTAACTACAGTAACGTATACTTAACTTTCTGTTTCTCAGTTTCCTCATCTATAAAATGGCAGCGATAATACAGTTTTTCTAACAAAGCTGTTGTAAAGATTAAATCTTTTCATGCATGTAGAAAGATCAGAAAAGTGGCACATAATAAGCACTTAATAGAGATTAGCTTCTATCATTATTTATATTCTTATCATCATGATATATGACATTGATAACCCACCAGAAAATGGGGTTTATTTGTCCCAAATCAGAAATGAAAAGTTTGCAAAGCTTGGTTGCCAAGCCAGACATTTCTCTTCAGAGTAACTTCTTAGTAGGGAGATTTCACACTAGGACAGTGGTTCCCAACCTGTTTTTGGCCATGCCTCACCTAAGCATCTCTAAAATCCTGATGTCTCCCCCACCCCCCATGACGTATAATTCTTATTATTCAAAAAGTGAACTCCTATTCATGTGGAGGAACCCTAAAAGGCCATTAACTTGGACTAAACAAGCTTCCAAAGAACATGGCATCCATGAAAGAGGAAGAAAAAAAAGAACGAAAGAACAGTTGAAGTACTGAGGAAGAAATCACTAAGAAATGGTTAAAAAAATAGTAATATGAAGTGATATGAAAAAATAGCAAAGTTTCAAAACATATAATAGAGAACTGAAATGTATAAATATGTCACAATATACATTTATATACTGTATATGAGGCCCCAGGACCATAAGAAATCTCTAATTGCCCCCCTTAAAAATCAAATTGCCCCCCTGTGCGCGTGTGCCCCACGCTGGGAACTACTGCTCCACCTGCAGGAAATGCAGCAGGGGGACAGTCTGTCAGGTGATGCCCTTGCTTCGTAGGGCTGTGTGTGTGGGCAGAGAAGAATGCTAATCTCACTCGCCCCCTGCTGGACTGGGGTGGAATAGCACCCAGCTGCTTTCACACCAGCAAGTGAAAGGAAAAGCTTTGCCCCTGGAGGCGGAGAGGAAATGGAGGATATACCCTTTCCGTCCTGTCCCCACCCCTAGCCCCTAACTCTGCCCCTTTTCCTCCCCTACCTTTTAGGAAAGTAGACCAGGAAATGTTGGCCCTGAAGAGAGGGGGCTTGAAGGGCAATGCTGCTTCCAAACGGAAATAATGTTAACTTTAGGCCAAATTAACAGCCAATTTCAGCCTTTGCTTCCCCTCTTCCCCCTCAGCACTGTTTTCAGTGGAAAGGAAAAGGGGGCTGTGAATGTGAGACTTGCATCCAGTGTTCAGGATTATTTCAGAGGTTTTCATGACTTAAATCATATTCTCCTTATAGAGATCACTAGTTTCCCGCTGCTGTGTTCAGTGTGGACAAAGGTTTCCCTAACCCACTCCCCCTAGAAACTTAGTAGAAATGCAGACTACCAGGCCTCACTCGACACCTGCTGACTCAGAAGTCTAACAGAGCCCAGCAATCTGAGCATTAACAAGCCAGTGAGATGATTCTAATCCAGGGGTGGGCAAACTTTTTGACTCGAGGGTCACAATGGGTTCTTAAACTGGACCGGAGGGCCGGCACAAAAGCATGGATGGAGTGTTTGTGTGAACTAATATAAATTCAAAGTAAACATCATTACATAAAAGGGTACGGTCTTTTTTTTTAGTTTTATTCATTTCAAACGGGCGGGCCGTAGTTTGCCCACGGCTGTATCCCTGCTGAGGTTTGAGACCCAGTCATCTAGGGCTAGGACATTGAAGCTCACCTAGTTATCCTCCGCATCAGATGATTTTGCCTTTCATGGTAATTAGTAGTTTTCTGATGACAGAATTTCCCCAACCTAAGAATAGCAAGACAGTTAGGGATAAACTAAAGATAAACCTTGGATGCCACTCCCAAATTTGAAAATACTGCTTAAGAAAGGGTTTGAGGTAAATGTTCACAAAACTTGTGTAATCTTAGTGGCTGAAAATGGGAGATGACATGTAAAAGGCTTAAATGCCATGATGGAAACCTTGTCATTTATTAACTCCCTAGAAAATGCATGGATAGTCACTGTATTGCTGCAGTTCTGTGACCTAGAAAGAGTCCCCTGCATCTGGAAGAAAGTCTTGGGCTTTATGCTGCCGTCCTTGTATTTGAGCCATCACTTGGATTCCTCATAATGATAATTATGTAGAACAGGGGTCCTCAAACTTTTTAAACAGGGGTCCAGTTCACTGTCCCTCAGACCGTTGGAGGGCCGGACTATAGTCTAAAAAAAAACTATGAACAAATTCCTATGCACAGTGTACATATCTTATTTTGAAGTAAAAAAACGGGAACAAATACAATATTTGTATTTGCATGTGGCCCGTGGGCCGTAGTTTGAGGACCCCTGATGTAGAATATTCTGGGTGGTGTTATGCCAAGAGCTTTGAACCCCTAGTGTCCTATGACATTCTCTAGAAGTCATTCTAAGAAAAGATTTGGGTCACAAAGCAGATATATTTACTGGTCCAGCCTATAGCTAAGCCCCTCTAACGCAGGCGCCATATGAAAGGGCTTTTGGAGAACATCCCTGTAAGTGATGGGAAGAAAAGCTGCTCTGGCCTTTCACGCCCCATTGTACTAAATGCTACGTGCTCTGCGCTGTTCCCTCTGGGGGGATAGCACGCAGCACATCCCTCAACTTGGAATGATTCCATAAATGTCAGCGAAATATGAACCGCCCCCCCCCCCCCAGCATCTCCAGGATGCTCGGTCACATACTTAATACAGACAGGGAGAGCTATGTAAGAAAGCCCGAACTTGTAATCACATATTTAGCATCAAATTATAGCTCGACTAATTGTTCTGACAATACCATGAAACGTGAATCAAGTCATGCTCGCTCCAGAACAACACACAGCATGTGGCTCAGCTGGCAGAATTGGCTCACATCCAAGTTCCATCTAGAGTCTCTAGATGGTGCCTGGAGTTAACAAAGGACATCTCTGGGCACCCCTTTCACCTCTGTCCGCTGCTTCCTGAGTTGGCTTTTCTCTGGACAATCCGTTTTGCCTGAAACTTAGTCACGATAAAGAACTCAGAGGGACCCTAACCGGTTTGGTTCAGTGGATAGAGCATCGGCCTGCAGACTGCAAGGTTAACAGGTTCAATTCCGGTCAAGGGCATGTACCTTGGTTGTGGGCACATCCCCAGTAGGGAGTGTGCAGAAGGCAGCTGATCGATGTTTCTCTCTCATCAATGTTTCTAACTCTCTATCCCTCTCCCTTCCTCTCTGTAAAAAATCAATGAAATATATTTTTTTTTTAAAAATTCAGAGGGTATTTTTCTAATAGTTCAGTCTTCTTATTTTAAGTATTGCAGACATTTGACAAATACCTGTCACTTGACCACATATATATAACAGTTCAGTGCAGCACCCGTGTACCATCCTTTGACCCATGACTATCTCTTTTTCCATAGATCTTCAACCAGAATGTTCTGTTTGTCATTCCATAGTGCATGTTTTTATACTTCTACTAGAGGCCTGTTGCATGAAAAGATTCGTGCAATAGGCCTTCCTTTCCCCTGGCTGCTGGCACCGGTTTGCCTCTGGCACCGGGGGCCCAGGCCTTCGCTCTGGCCAAGTTCTGGCCGGAGCCAGCCCCAGAAACATCAGGCTTCACTGCTCCGCTGGCCCCGGAAACGTCAGGCTTCACTGCTCTGCTGTCCCGGAAATGTCAGGCCTTGCTGCTCCGCCGGCCCCGGGGCCGTGAAGCCTCGCTGCTCCGCCGGCCCCGGGGACGTGAGGCTTCACTCCACTGCTTGGAGCCTATGTATGCAAATTAACTGCCATCTTTGTTGGCGGTTAATTTGCATATCGCGCTGATTAGCCAATGGGAGGTGTAGCGAAGGTATGGTCAATTACCATGTTTGTCTATTATTAGATAGGATGTATTTATGTGTCTATTACAGTTTCTAGTACTGTGTTGCGTGTGTAAACATGTATACATGGTGTCACGCTATGCACAGTCTTTCTCTCTCAGTACTGCTTTTCATGTGTGTCCACTGCGAGCCGCTCTTGGTTCCCCATCTCACTGGAGGGCTGCCATGTTAGCCCGTTTGTAGGGGTGTCACTTCCTGGGCTCAGCGCAGGACAGATTCTACCTGTCCTGGCCTTGCTTATCTACTTCCCAAGGGCTCTTTCAAAACATAGAATTGCATTTCTTCTTTGTCTTCAAAGGAACTTTACAAATTCTTACCAATTACAGGTCTATGCTAGAAAGACTCTCTCATAGATCCCATTTCTAGGCTGAATGGTTGTCCACCAGTTGTTGTGGGAGGGTTCTCGCTCAGATACTGTGGTAGGTTTAGCCGTGGTCTCTGAGTACCTCATAGCGAGTTTCTGAGTTACCAGGGAAGAAATCACATTTGTTTTGTTTCCACAAACAGACTAAGGTCCAAATTCTTTCAGGAAGTGGGTAGGAAAGGCACATTTTTCATTCTCATCATTTTGCTTCACAGAGGATAAACATTAGTTTTTGGCAGAATGGCTTAATGCGACAAGAATGCCCCAGGTTCCCATGGCTTTTAGCTTTGTGACCTTGGGAAAGTCACGGTCTCTCTGGGTTTTCTGTTCCTTCGCTTGTAAAGGAAGAGAATTGGGCAAGGTGATTTATTGTCAAGGCTTCCTGCTCAGAAGTCTTGACGCGGGCTCTAGGGAAGTGACACTTCTCAAGAACTGAGAGAAGGGCATCATTTATGTCTTTCAGAAGCCAAAAATACCTCCTGGTTGTAGAGCACGTGTGATGATGACGAATGAGTATTACAGGGAAGATTAATGTATTTCATTATCTAATCTCTGGGTAACCAAAATAGGTCAGGCTTAGACTTTGTGCTGTAATGCAGCCCTAGGAGTCAGCTAAGGACTTCTGGCAAACTTTTCTTTCTTTTTTTTTTTTTTTTAGTGAGTTTAATTGTCCTTGTTGATTTTAAATTATAGCAGTGGTCTTGCTGGGCCTGGGTCAGGACCCAGGCCAATTCTCTAACATCGTTTTCTTCTGTTAGACCACCCGGCCCACATCCTGCCAGTGGGACTCTTCTCGGGCAAGGTGCAGACACAGTAAGGAAGAGCTGCCTCCTACAGGGCCAGGAAGGGGACACGGGTCATGCTGCTCCACAAACAGTCCCTCTTCCTTTGCCCAGGCTGCCTGCCCATGCTGCGTAGACTCCCAGCACCTTTGTTTTCTGGTTGCCCTGGGGAGGGGGGCATGGAGAAAGGTTTCGGGCTTTTGTGAAAGGTTAACTTAAAGGGCAAAGTGTGCCCTGGCCTCTGTGGCTCAGGTGGTTTAGTGTCGTCCCATGAACCGAGGGGTCACTGGTTGGATTCCCGGTGAGGGCACAATGCCTAGGTTTCAGGCTCGATCCCCAGTAGGGGGCATGCAGAAGGCAGCCAATGGATGTATCACTCTCCTTCTCCCTTTCTGTCTCTCTCAAATCAATAAAAACATATTTAAATAAAGAAATAAATGGTAAAGTGTAGGGAGAGTATAATGTCTCCAGGTTGGCATAACACAGCCCAGAGCCCTTGCAAACAGGCGGTTTGTCCAGCCAGGGTGGTTCAGGCGCTGGAGGCTCGGGGACCCGGGCAGCGACATTTGCAAGTCTCACCATGTTACTCCCCTGCCACAATTCCAACCAGATCAGTCGTGACCATTAGTCAAAGAAAATACACTATCTGTACAGGAAACAAGATGAAGAGAGTGCACCCCGGGTGCTCACGGTGATTCTCTGAGAGGCACGATTATTCAGGTTTCCTTAGTTCCCTCCTTTTTGTGTTTCCTGTATTTTTAACATGAGATGCATTACTTGTGAGATCGGAAAAAAGCAGTAAGCTGTATTTTTATAAACTGTCCCTGTGCCTCAGGTGGGAAGCTCAGAATCCTTTCGTGGCATGTAAATGTCCCCAACCCCAGGGATCTTTAGCCCCATGAGCCGCTCCCTACCCTCGTTTACTTTAAAATACTTTATATCTTATGATAAGCCTAAGCATTCATTAAATGGTGGTGGTACTTGTACCAGTGCTGAAACTAGCACATGGCAATACGTACGTTTGGAATAGAATTTAGATGAGCTAAACGTGATGAAGAAGGCCAAACAATTCCCCCGATACTCCGTGTTAATTTAGGAATGAGCGCTCTGTAAACTACTGGAGATGGTGCCTAGAAAATAAAATGGAGCGTTGAAAAAAAATGCATTATGATGATAAAGCTCTGTGCCTCCTAAGGCTGAATTTATTCCTTTGGGAAAAATCGGTTATGACTTTTGCACATATTGAATTACTTAAAGCATTTAGGAATGCATCCCTGGCAAAAAATGCTGTCACCTTGTTCTTGAGATTATTTTTTTGTAATTAAAATTATATACCTGTTTTTAAATCATATTTTAAAACACAATAGGACAAAAAGAATAGGTTTTTATCTTTAAAGTCTAGAATCTGAATGACTTTTATTAATGGGCCTCACCATTTACTTTATAACTAGATCATTAATTTTAAGCCATTTTTTCCAAAATAGTTCTAAGGTTTCTGGGTCTAATGCTGTGTATCAGGGCCATAGGACATCTAGAACAAACATTTGACATCCCAGAATGAATGTTACAACTGAAAAGAACCTTAACCTGGCTGGTGTGGCTAAGTGTTTAAGCATCGACCCATGAACCAGGAGGTCACGGTTCATTTCCTGGTGAGGGCACGTGCCTGGAATGTGAGCTCAATCTCCTGTAGGGGGCGTGCAGGAGGCAGCTAGTCAATGATTCATCATCAGTGTTTCTCTCTCTCTCTCCCTCTCCCTTCCTCTCTCTGCAAGTAATAAAAACGTATTTTTAAAAAAGAAAAGAACCTTAGGATCATCTTACAAAAGGGGAGACAGCTGAGGGCCTGACTCAGGGTCACAAAAACTTTCAAATAGCTGCGTTTTATTTTTTATTATTATTATTTTTTAAAATATATTTTATTGATTTTTTACAGAGAGGAAGGGAGAGGGATAGAGAGTTAGAAACATCGATGAGAGAGAAACATCGATCAGCTGCCTCCTGCACACCCACCACTGGGGATGTGCCCGCAACCAAGGTACATGCCCTTGACCGGAATCAAACCTGGGACCTTTCAGTCCGCAGGCCGATGCTCTATCCACTGACCCAAACTGGTTACGGCCAAATAGCTGCATTTTAATATTTTATAGTGTCTATCTAGTTGTAGGTAGTCTCGATTTTTCCAGTATCCTTTCCTCCCTCTCTATTTCCTTATATATATTGAACTTTCCCCCTCATGATAATAAGCTGGAGTTCAGATATATTGACACAGGGTAAGAGTGGGAATATATATTTTTCTTTAAAACAAAAATCTGTGTAGGCTTTTTTCCTCCCCAAAACATTAGGCTTTATCAGCGGTTCTCAACCTGTGGGTCACGACCCCTTTGGGGATCGAACGACCCTTTCACAGGGGTCGCCTAAGACCATCAGAAAACACATATATAATTACATGTTGTTTTTGTGATTAATCACTATGCTTTAATTATGTTCAATTTGTAACAATGAAATTGGGGGTCACCACAACATGAGGAACTGTATTAAAGGGTCGCGGCATTAGGAAGGTTGAGTATCACTGGGCTATATAATCTTTCATTGGCTTTTCATCAGTTCCTAAGGCCATATATTAGAAAGGACATGATACTAAAAGCACATCCAATTCTGATGAGACCCAATGCTCATGGAGCTTTTCTTCTTTTCAAGACAACGCGTACGGTAAGACGTTACGGCAGCACCACGGCTGGGTCGTTCGCGGGGTTTTCGCGGTAAGTAATCCTCCTGCCTCCTACTGTTCTGGCGGTCACAGAAGGTGGTTTGGTTTGGTTTTGGGTGCATGTGTTCCTGTTGGCTTTGTCGTCCAGAGTAACAGAGTGTTGCTCACTTAATTAAAGGCTGTAGGTCTTTGTTGTGTAGGAATGTCGGTGACAAAGTGTAGAACAGAAGGACTGTTAGAGCGTGTGCTTTGCCCCATCCTGCTCCAGCGCCCCATGGAATTTCCTTGGCTGTTCACTGGATCGGGTGCTCCAGCCGCTCGGGCCAGGAGTCTCTTCTTACCCAGTTATTTTCCTTGTGGATGTGTTTGTATGCACATGTTTTTGGCTCCTATTATGCCCCACTCCTTCCCTCCCACTATGTTGACGGAGGAAAAACACACACCTGGGACTCTCAGTCCCCGGGAACAAATCGCTGAGCCCGGTGTGTGAAATAGCAGAGTAGCAGCCCCTTTAGGTCAGCAGTAATGTGTACTGTGGTCTCCGTCCGGGAGCTGCCATCTCAGTCAGATGCAGACGTGAAAAGGCTGCGTCTCACGAGGGGAACACCAGGAAACGTGGCAGAATGTGGTTAAAAATAACCTCGAAGGTGATATTTTACTAACTGAAAGGGCAGGAGGCATCATTTGCCTAAGGCAGGAACTGTTTTAGGTCATGATTTCTTTGGAGGCAGGTAAAGAAACTGGGAAGAATTTAAGTGGAAGAAATCAAATATTAGTGCAAATGAAATCATTTTTGAAAGCGTGGAGATAATAGGAGCCAGACTTGTTGCAGCTACAAACTGCCCACACGTCCTTCAGTGCCTGTTAGAATAATAGCTGCCGTGCAGCTGCTGGGCACCTATTGTGTGCTGGGCATCATGTCAGGCACATCCACGTTTCTTACCTTTGGGAATCCTCAGCATTGGCTCCCACTATTTTATAAATTCAGAGCTATTCATTCCAGTCCCAAAGTGAGCTACCTGCTGTCTCCAAAGGCTGTGCTCACTCCCCACACACAGTCTCCGCAGTGAGCACAGAAGAATCGAGAAGCTGCTGGTGAATAACTGGGCAGTAGATGCTGCTCCATTCATCAGTCTCCCTGAGTAAATACTGTCAGATGACAAAGCATTAAAGCATTGAGTTGCCCCGTGTAAAAGAAGCGTAAATATGGGGGAGGGGGAGGGGGCGGTGTAGAGGTAAAGTTAAATCCTGAAATATTAATGATCGAAGGGATGCTGTCAACAAGAATGCAGCAATAGCAGAAAATTTATCATAAGCATGAGTCTTTAAAAGGACTTTTTAATTTATGGCATTTTCCCTAATATGTAGTAATTTAGACGCATCACAGTGCATTGTAGAAGTTATGGAAGAATAGGAAGTGGGGGGGATTAAACTTGTCCATAGTCTTATCACTCCATAGAACTATTTTTAATATTTTTTGCGATTTACCTTTCTCACTTTCATTTTTATATATTTTATATATTCTTTTAAATATTCTATTTAATTTTATATATTTCTAAATACGTATCTACTTACAAGTGTTTATATTTTATATCAACATGTTTATATTAGATGCTTATAATTATCTTTATTTTGTGTACTTTGCACATGCATGTAATTTTTTTTACTTTAGCTTGTAGTATAATTTTGTGTTCTTTCTCCCCACATAATAGATTCTATCATGACCATTTTATAATGCCATCAGTTTTTGAAAACCGTTATTTTTAGTGATTGTACAATATTTCCCTACTATGGAGGTTCCATAATTTATTTGTCCAGTCCTCTGTGTTGGAAATTTAAGCTGCTTCTAAGTTTCTTAATACAGATAAAACAGTGTCTGTTCATATGCATTTTTTACTTAAATAAACCTCTTATTTTCTCAAATAGGTTTCTAGAATTAAAATTGCTGTGTCTAATGCCAATAACTACAGCCATAACTTGGAATTTTGAGCATTGACCATGCACTAGGCATTGTTTTAAGTGATCTGTGTGTGTGAAGTTATTAATTTCATAACTCAGCAGGTTCTCTTATTTTCCTTACTTGTTGACAAAGAAATCTGAGACACAAAGGGGCAGATAATATACCCAAAGTTATAGAACAAGAACACTTTGAAAGTTCTTGATATTATTGCCAAAACTTTTAAAAGTTGCTGGTTTTTAAGAAAATAGATTATGTCGAGCCTTTGGGAACAGCCTTCTCAATTAGAAGAGCCAGATTGGCCCTTTCAGCCTCTCCCAGTCATTCCTGCTTTGGAAAGTTTATTGAGTTTCCTAATGTCCTGATTAATAAGCAGGGGCAAGTGCATTTAACTATCTCAGTTGCTCAGGGAAACATCTTTTACACTCAAGGAATTTAATTCACTCATCAGCCAAATAGTGAGCTTTTATCTTCAAACAGACATAGTCTACAGAACTGATTGATGCCCAGTCCAGGCTCTGCCTCCATCGAGGTCACTCACCATCATCAGTTGGCCTTTTTGGTTTCCTCTTCAGTTGAGTTCTATCATTAGTTCCCAAATAGATGTGGCCCCATCACAATCTTCTAGGAGCCTTTGAGGAAATCCCCGGGCCCCACTCTGGAAAACTTTTTAAATGTCTTCTTATACTAAAACATTTGTGCATGGGGTTTATACAAAATGTTACAGCAAAAAATAGCGTCCCTTCTTCGGCTACCTACTTCCCAGACTTACTCCAAAGAGGCGGCCACTTTCAACCACCGTGGCTGTTTCTTCTAATACCTCCGGGATTCTAAGAATGTCTAGTGTTCTTTGTGGCCTGATCAGTCATAGTCACTAAATGTCAACTTTCTGTTATAGATGAGAATTTAGCTCTCTTAGACCTTGCTGTCACTAACTCACCTCCGCTGCCTCCACCATCCCAAAATAATGACTCACAAGTTAACATTATGACAATGAGCCAGAATTCTATAGGTTTTTTGGTTCTTTCTTATGTTTTTATTTTTCCCTGCACCATCAGACCTCTCAAAGCACCATCACTCTGAACTCACAAATGTGTCATTATATGTTTTTTACCTGGAGACTTCCCTGTCATAACTTTCTAAACTCATTCCAGTCTGAGTTAGTTGTTCAGGCCTGTTGTGCTATATTGCCCGAGGAATTTTCCTCACAAGTTCTCCTACATTATTAAATCCCCACCTCACCCTCATTTCATTTCCCAGGGCCTGCAACCAGGTATCTCCACCTAAACCATCATTTTGGTGGAATCCATTCTCCAGCAGCTCCATGTGCCTGTGTTTTACATGTGCCTGGCAGTAGGTTAAGCATGTCATACGTATTCCATTAGTCCTTCAAATAAGGAAAGTGGTACCAGTTCTCTGTTCCAAATCAGGGAACTAAGGTTCTCGGAGGTCAAGCACCTTGCTGAAATTCCTCAAGCAAGCAAGTGAAAGATTTGGGGTCAAGTCCAGGTCTTCTTCACCCAGGCAGGCCTGTGCTGTAAACATTTAGAGACAAATGCCAGTCACTCTCCAGCTGCACAAAGGGGGAGGGTTGATTCCCAAACGCTTTCAAATTCAAAGTGTAAGGACACTCAAGAAAGAAACTGTAGAATGATAATTCAAGATTCTAAAGTGTCTCCAAAGATCTCAGCAGAGCCAGACATGGATTTTAGGGAGCTTAGGGAGCAGGTGGTCTGCAAAGGGAGGGGAGCTCTTCTGTCGGGAGCAATGTGGTGTGAGAGTGTAGTTGACAAAGCACAGAGACGACCCGAAGCTCAGGCCCTGGCTGGGCACTCATTAGCTATGTGACATTCATTTGCAAAATAGGGATATGAACTGTACAGGGTTCCTAGAGAGATGAACTGGGGTAGAATGCATGAAAGCATCAGTGCACAAGCAAGCAGAATGTTCAGTCCGGAGTGTGAAGGAGATATTGTCCATGTGGGGGGAGATGGGAGGTGCACAGAGAAACGGAGGTATGATGATGAGAGCCAGCTAGGAGAGTGATGTGCTCTGGAGGCTGGCCAGGACTGGACAAACACGGGCAGCAATGCACATACAGGTGGATTCTGGAGGTTCAAGGGGAACCCTCTCGATCACACCATGCATGAGACCGGAACTTTTCTTAAACTTTTCTGTCAGCACTCCCTGGCTTGATGGCTTTATTCATCCTCAAGTTGGCCCAGGTACATACCTGCTTCTTCTAGCCTTAAAATTATTTGATTTGTTGCTTGAAAAAAATTTTAGAGTCCACAAATTCGAAGGGTATATTCCTGTTGTTACTTTTGCACTCCTAAGCTGTGTGTGCGTGTGTGTCTGTGTGTGTGTGTTCACGCATGTGCTCGTGCATAGGGTAAAGCGTGCAAGAGCGAGAGTGATGCGCATTCTCACAGCAATTCTTTTGCAGCTGGCTTTGCGGGCAGCTCCGTCCTATGAAGATTTTGTAGCCGCGTTAACCATAAAGGAGGGCGACCACCAGAAAGCCGCTTTCAGTGTCGGGATGCAGAGGGACCTGAGCCTCTACCTCCCTGCCATGGAAAGGCAGCTGGCCATCCTGGACGCGCTGTACGACGCCCACGGGCTGGAGAGCGATGAGGTGGTGTGACTCCTGCTGGACAGCGGCGCCCCCTGCAGGGAAGAGCTTGCTGCCGTGTTTGGATGCCCCACTTAATTTCCAGCAGCAGCTTCAACCCTCTCCATCCCTTATGCCGGCCATGGAGAGATGGAGGCAAAGCCTAGTGCTTTTATATATCATTTTTAAATGCGTACATGTTTTGTGTGTTTAAAAATCAAGGTGCTATATATTTCAGTTCAAAGGGCCTCCTGGAAACCAAATCGTAGCTGTTTTAGAGACTTGAACAGCAAGTTATAAGAGCAGATTTGACAAGTTAATTTCTTGGGTCTTGTTTTGTTTTGTTTTTAGCTTTAAGTTTTAATGGGCCACCCAACCCAAGCTGAAAATGAGCAAATTCTATATCAAGGACTGTAACTCACGGGTAGTGTCTCAGCCAATTTAGGATTAGACTGAAGCTTTAGGGGGAGCTAGGCCCCCGGTGGAAGCTGTGAGGTGTAGGTTGGCTGTCCTAGACGTTCTTCAGAGGATCTTCCCTCCGGGGCTCTGGGGGCGGGGGGCCTGTAGTCGAGTGTGCAGAGCGTGGGTGCGGCATGCCAGCAGGAGGTGGAAGACACCCAGAGGAGTGCCATCCCGTGAGGGGTGGGAAGATGATGGCTCTGCAGAGCTGAGTGTGCCCCACGCTGAGGGCAGGGGCGGGTCCTCCCTGACGACCCTGCCTAGTGCCCACCCTCGTTCCCATGCTTCCCCAGACACTGTCTCCATTGGACACCATAGCAACACCGTGACACTCGGGGGTTGTTACCCAATTTCAAAAGTAGGCTTCAGAGGTGGAGGATTTTTCTGCTCACCATGCACAGCCTCTAAACAGGAACCAGGTGATGTCCAGGTGTGATTGTGACCCTTCTGTGTCAAAGTCACATGCAGTGCCGGGCAGAAAGCACAGCCCCAGGCTGACCCACCCGGCGAACCGGGTCCTGTGGCCGGTCAGGAACCGGCATCTGAGTGCTTTTCTGGTGATTCTGTGCACACAGCATTGAGGAATCCTGAGACTAAATCTTAGTTTACAGAATTTCCAGTCTTCCACATGAGCTAAATGATGTGTCCTGTTTTTCAAAGAGGAGGAGGCTTTTGTGGAAATAACAGTTAAAGCGAGAGAGAGACATGTACCACATTTACTCCGCAGTTTTTCTAACTCAGCCAGCATCCGCCCGGCCAGTGTGTACCAGGCAGGAATGGTGGCTCCCAGTGTGCTCGCTGATCAGTCTTGGCTTAACCACCCATCACACAAGCTAAATGCAGCCGCTCGGCAGTCTCCAGAGCTCTGGGACTGTGGCAAGGTTTACCAGCGGGATTTCAGTCTTTCTTAAGACAACCTTGTGTGGGCGTTGCCCTGGAAAGAGTGACCCTGGGACTCTGGCCCTGCTCTCAGGAGCCACACCGCCCAGTGCCTGGGGAGAAGCCACGGGCCTTCCCCCTAGAGGCGCTTCCTGGAGTAGCTGGAGGGCATTTCCACCTTGAGGCGGCTCCCAGGGGAGAAGGTGAGCTCCTCTGAGCAGCGCAGGTGAATGCTGCCTGGGCAGCCCCAGATGACACTGTCCGAGGGCAAAGAACCCCTCCTTAGGGAGACTCATGTGGGGAGGGGTGTTGATTTTGTCTCCCGTCTGTCTCTGAACAGATGGGCGTTTATTTCGCTCAGTTAGTGAAGCAGGTACTCTGTTCATAAGGACTTCTGGAAAAGGCTTCCACTTAGAAAAGCAACATCAGATGTTTCAAGGCTGGGGAGGAAAGTGGTGCTGCAAGGATGCTGGTTCTTCTGTAGTTGAGCACTTCCTGTTGGTACTTATCAAGGTGTGTGTGTGTGTGTGTGTGTGTGTGTGTGTGTGTGTGTGTGTTGCTCCCCCTCCCACGACTAACAGTGTGGATCTCCCTGTGTGGCTGGTGTGACAGTGATGGGGACGAGGGGTCCTGCCCTTGACATCGCCTCCTAAAGGGAAGGAGACAGCAGCCAGCCTTTGCTTGCACCTTGAATGAGGACACTGTAGGCCTTGTGCCCCTGCGAGAGGATGAGGCCAGGAGCCTGTGAGTGTGGTGACGATTCCGTTCCAGCCACCTGCGTGCTCCCTGTCGCCGCAGGCGAACTCGCGAGGTGAGGGAGTGGGCACACGACCATTACCTCAGATTTGCCCGCAAAGCTGTGAATTCACACAAAGAAAGCTGCTCGGCACGGCCGTTTTCTGTTGATGTAGGTACGTGGTGTACATGCCTCGGTTTTCTGGGGAGGAAGGGTTTACTGTTATCTGGGCTCACTGGGAATCCAGTGGGATAACTGGGGTAAGTTCCATTTTCTGCTCACCCCTTTCCCAACTCCATAGAAAGGGTGATGTCTTTTGAGAGGTACTTTCCTCCCTGGAGCATATACCATTTGCCTAAGATGTGTGACGCTCTGAGAATCCTTCAATAAAAAGAACCAGGAATTGAGCCCAGTGCCAGGTGATAAGTTCAACCCGACCTGAAGCTTGGCACCTATGGCACTTCCTCCTGGATCCACTGTTCTGCATCCCCCTTTTAGTCCAAGTCCTAATTTGTGCTACTTCGCAGTTACTATCTCAGGGGGGGACAAAGAAAAGGTAGTTAAGGCTTTTTCCCCCATAATCCTGCCAGATTCCAGGACACCTAAGCTTTCTTCCACCTGCCGGCCAGACGAGAGGAGAGCAGAGCAGAGCAGAGCGCCGGTGTTTGTCACAGAGCAGTCACCTGGCTGTCCTGGCTCAAACACTGAGATCCCTTTTCAAGAGGAACCTTAGAGAGACCCTGAAGGGAAAGGTAGTGTGTCTCCCAGACTGAGCCCTTCCAGGGTGTTCCGTACGCCATCGTGTCCTGTCCGCACCTGTCCCACAGGTGGGATCCAGGCTTGACACTCAGGAGGGGTCGGTCTCTCTCTCTCTTTTTTAATATATTTTATTGATTTTTTTACAGAGAGGGAGAGGGATAGAGAGTTAGAAACATCGATGAGAGAGAAACATCGATCAGCTGCCTCCTGCACACCCCCTACTGGGGATGTGCCCGCAACCAAGGTACATGCCCTTGACTGGAATCGAACCTGGGACCCTTCAGTCCGCAGGCCGACGCTCTATCCACTGAGCCAAACCAGTTAGGGCAGGGGTTGGTCTCTTAATCTCACTGAACAATGACAGCAACTGCTTTGTCCTTTGAAAGCACATTTGACATTTTATAGCGAATCCTGTGAAAATTATTAAGTTAGAGGGATGCCCTTTGGGGGGCGACACTCACTCATGATTGACAGTGAGCTGGAGACAGTTTTCTCATCAGCTCTTCAGGGAGTTCAGAAGTGGGGCTCCGGGTCCACTTGAAAAAGCTGTGCCCTGCCCATTAGGAGCTGTAGGTCGTGGCTTGAGGCAGCTTGCCATCGTTTAGGGCCATTCTGAACACAAAGCTCCCCCAATGCCTGTTCCAGGGTGAGGGACAGCTGAGCTCCGGGTTTAGCTGAGCTGCAGGTTCAGCCGGGCGGCCTCTCTCCTTTCTCACGCTCGCTCGCCCGCACTGCCCTCATCTGCGCCCATCCTGCGCCCATCGGAGCATCAGCTCCGCCCCTGTAGCTGCCCTGCCCCTTCCCCAGCAGCACCTTCTGGCACCCACCTCGCCCAGGCTTAGGTGCCTCATCAGCAGGACTCCACGCCCTCCCAGGCTGCACAAGCTTCCTAAGAGCCCTCTTCCCAAGGTCACTGTGAAGCAGGTGACCCCCAGGATGCGTGGTGTCCTGGAAAGGTGATCTGGAATTAGAGGAGTGCCGCTCGGAAAGTCCGCGGCCTTCTTCCAGTCACTAACCGTGTGTGCGTGTACATCCAAAGAGTCAATGCTTTCACCTTCATGTTTTCAAAAAAGTGGTTTTAATTTTTAAAATATGTGGTGGGGACCAATAGATAAAGTACCCGTTTCTGTATTCAGTGTGGAATCAGTGAAAGAGCTGGGTAACGGGCATTTTACTAAAGAAACTTCACCCGACTGAAAATCTCAGGCATCGTGTAAGGCCCGAGCGGGCACCAGGGGTCCTGGGCAGTAGATGATGTGAGACATCCAGGAAGCTTTCGAATGAAAACTATTTTTTTCCTACTAAACTACCATGTCCTACAAGAAGTGGTTACGCAATGGTGCATTTCTGAATCACTGATTAAAATCACTTGCTTCTGATTGTAGTCATGGGTTTTACAATCCTCAGCTCCCCCACCTTCATGTTTCATTTCTTTCTAAGATGAACTATCACCTTTTTTATACTTTTAGCTTTAGGATTTAGAAGTAAAGCATATTTTAAGCCTTTGTTCTCCTAGCTGAGCGAATGTGTTTGGTCCTGGGGACCTGGCGCCGTTGCCCTTTGATCTGATACAGTCTGTGCGCAGACGTCAGTGTGTGCAGCAAACCCGTGTCCTGTGAACTGTGTGCGGAAGACTTTACTTAGAAATATGTCCTGCTTCGGTGTCCCTTTGTGACCTGCAGTTGTTTACTCAGGGGTTTCACAGTAATGACATGAATGTTCACTAGCTGTCTAATGGTGGTGTAAGACTGCTTATCTGTTACAAGGTTGTTCGGGTCCTTTCGAAGCTCCATGTGCATCCTGCTCTCTATACCATCCTGTACGCTCCCCCTGCATCCATGCCGCCAGAGCCACCTGCATGGCTTCTCCGCACAGCTGCGTCAGGGCATGACTGAGCACTATTGACGGTACAGTTGACGCTTGCATTAACCTTGCTCCTCTGCTGTTCTTACATAGCCTTTCACTAAAAGGAAAACACGTACCATGACTCTGTGATGCAAACATTCTTTGGTTACCCTCTGAATCACTTCTCCTTCAGAGTGAACAAATCTTTCCAGCTAAGCTATGTGAGAACCCAAGAAAGGGGCTGCTTGTTTTAAGCACGTCCTTCCACTTACACACATTTTAAAGTGTGGTATTTCCTCCCTGTACTTCATAAACAGAAACCATCCCGGGATGGTTGGTCTCCTTGCAAAGCTGTTCTCATCCACACAGACTCCAGTAGATGCTGGTGTCTTTATAGGTGTCCATGGAGTCGGTGATGACAGGAAAGGTGATCTAGAAGTAACTTCTGTTGGTTCCCAGAAGGCTAATAAGCCAGTCGCATGGCATATTTGATGTGTGAGTCTCCTGTGTCATAACAGTTCACTAGAATGTCAGTAAACAGCCCAACTACCTCATGTGAAATTGGCTGTGGACAATCTGTGTCAGATGAGACATGTGTTAAGGTCACTTTAATCTGGTTAGTAGATGAGACAAAACTGATGTCTCTATAAAGAAGAAACACGTTCAACCAGATGCCAAAGGCTATGATGTACATAGGTTTCCTTGGGTTAATTTTTTTAAATCAGTGTTTAATTCCACCCCCAGTATTCTTATCTCGAATGTTCTTGTTCTCATAGATTCATGCACTTTGAATATCTGTCACACGCAGTCTTTGTTACCACTTCTTGTCCTTCAACGTTTTAATTGAGCATCATAATGACAGTAGGAAACAAGTGTCAAGTGGTTTGTGGATTTCTTAATTTGGATGGACCTTTACTTAGAATATAATATGTTGGAGCCTTTTTAGGACCAACCAATGAATGAAGATTTCATGTTTAGTGTTTCATGTAAAACTCTGTCCAAGTTCTTACTCTGTATCTTGTTGGGGGTTGGGGGAGAAAAGCAGAACAAGGGAGGGTTTTACTTTTTTTGCAAAAATGTTTGAAAACATCTGTCAGATTTTATATTCGTTAGTTATAATAAAGTTATTTTTAAAGTATTTTATCAAGTGCTTCTGTTAAAGATTTTTGTGTGGTTTCTTAGCGTAAATAAGGCCAAATAACAGAACCTCCTTCCCCTAAAATAACTATCAAAATAAATTACAACTTAAAAATAAAAAACACTTAAACTCACCAGCAATGAAGCAAAGCCAGGAGCCGTTGTTGTTCTTTAAACTTCAAAAGATGATCACCAAAGAAAAAGACCAGATTTTCCAGCATGAATCCAAAGAGCTCCCAATCCTGCCTGCATTGAGGGAATATGCAAATTCAGAATTCTCATTAAAGTCATAGGTTTTGGTCCTAGCGGGTTTGGCTCAGTGGATAGAGCATCAGCCTGTGGACTGAATGGTCCCGGGTTCAATTCCGGTCAAGGGCACATGCCTGGATTGCAGGTTCGATCCCCAGTAGTGGGGCATGCAGGAGGCAGTCGATCAATGATTCTCTCTCTCTCTCTTTCTGTCTCTCCCTCTCCCTTCCTCTCTGAAATCAATAAAAATGTGTGTTGTTTTTTTTAAAAAAAACCCACAGGTTTTGGGAAGACGTTGATTGGAGAGTTGGGCAGGATGGATAATTCCTTCCTCTGAGTGGATAATTTTAGGAAGACAAATATATTCTAACATACGTGTAATTGGTGACCTCCTCCCTGCCCCCAAAAAAGGAAGGAACTAAAGAAGTATTGAAAGACATAATACAGAAAAGTTTTCTGAGAAGGAGCTTCCTGAAATGAACCTGCAGATTGAAAAAGTGTCCTATGTTCTAGGAAATCTCTCAGAAAGTACTTGCCACTAAAACGTATCCTGAAAAGGTAATGAACTAGAAGAATTCTTCACCACTCAGGCAGACAATGCAAGTCTCCAAAGGGTCTGAAACTTCCATAAGAGTCAGTGACAGGAGAAAATGGAGGAATGCATCTAAAACTCTGAGTAGGAAAAAAGTGACTTAAGGATATTATTGGCAGCCAAGTTGTCAAAGATAACATCAGGTACTCTTAAGGACCTATGAGTTCTTCTTAAGAAACCATTTGATAGGAGAGATGAAATCAATAACTATAATGGAGAAGCTTATAGTAAAATGACTGGCAGGAACATTGAATTTATATAAAGAACTAAGACCAAAATCATAGTGTAGATACATATTGCAAATATTATAAACCTTAATAATATGACATAAGTTGGAAGTGGAGGAAGGGAGGTTATACTAGTGCCAATCTCATTTTTATAGCAGAGAGTTGATATTGTCTAAACAAAAAAAGCAAACATAATGACTAACTTTAATTTTTTGGTAATTTAAAAAAAATACTTTTATTGATTTTTAGAGGGAGAGAGAGAGAAACATCAATGATGAGGGAGAATCATTGATGGGCTGCCTCCTGCACACCTCCTATTGAGAATTGAGCCCAAAACCCAGGCATGTGCCTTGATCAGGAATTGAACCGTGACCTTTTGGTTTATAGGTCAAATGCTCAACCACTGAGCCACATCAGCCAGGAGAATATTTTGGTAATTTAAAAAAATAAACTTGAATGGATTTTTAAATAAATTCCTGTTGGGATAAAGAAATATTTAAAGTTTAGTAATTGCTTCAGTTTATTTTTTTTTGTCTTAAATACAAACCAAAAAAAGGCTATTTTTTACAAATTAATGTGATTAGAAATAAACGTGATAAATAAAATGAGTCTCTATTTATAAAAATATTCTCTATCCTTTTATCTGTTAAAAAAAAGTCCAGAATGATACTCACCTAAGTCAGTGATGGGTTTTTTGTTGTTGTTGTTGTGTTTTTTAATATAAATTGTATTGATTTTTTACAGAGAGGAAGGGAGAGGGACAGAGAGTCAGAAACATCGATGAGAGAGAAACATCGATCAGCTGCCTCCTGCACACCCACCACTGGGGATGTGCTTGCAACCAAGGTACATGCCCTTGGCCGGAATCAAACCTGGGACCTTGCAGTCTGAAGGCCGACGCTCTATCCACTGAGCCAAACCGGTTAGGGCAGTGATGGTTATTTTTAAGTGGTATTGATTTTATTTCACTCTTTTCTTTGTACTTTACTATATTACTTGACTTTTGCTTTATAACCATGCTTTTTTGTTTTAAAATAGGGTGGAGGTTATTCAAAAAACAAGGTTAAAAAACATTGTAGAGCCAGAACCGGTTTGGCTCAGTGGATAGAGCGTCGGCCTGCGGACTCAAGGGTCCCAGGTTTGATTCTGGTCAAGGGCATGTACCTTAGTTGCGGGCACATCCCCGGTGGGGGGCGTGCAGGAGGCAGCTGATCAATGTTTCTCTCTCATTGATTGTTTCTGGCTCTCTATCTCTCTCCCTTCCTCTCTGTAAAAAATCAATAAAATATATTAGGGGAAAAAAAAAAGAAAAAGCACTGTAGAGTGTTGGTGGACCACTGGCATATACTGCTACTTGTACTGGCCTTTGTTTTAAAACTCCCAGCAAGATAACTGTAAATGTTTAACTTAACCTCATCACACTTCCTTTCCCCCCTCTACTGGTTATTTTTCACTCATAAGCTCTTGTTCCTTTACACACACGGAGATATTACTCATCTCCCATTTCATATGACTCGTAAGTGTTGCATTCTTCTATGGCTAATGGGAGAGACTGTACGCCAGGATGATACTTAGCAACTTGCCCCATACAGCTGAAACGGATGAAAAAGTGGGAAAGATGAAGTTTCCCTGGCTGACAGTCATTTTACAAGAGGAAGCCAGAAAGACTCAGAAACAAGGGAATTTTGCACGTGAATTGGCTGCACTCCATCTGAGGAGCCGAAAGGACTCTCTTTGTGCTTCTGTGAGGCTGGAAATGAAACGTCAACCCCTTCTCTGCCCAAGTGACATTGCTGGCAATAGAGCTGTACTCCGGTATTGGCTTATGCGGATCAAACCCAGCTGCCGGCCATGGCAGAGGAGGGAATGCAGCGCTGCGTTCATTCAGTAAGCGTTTGTCTAAGGACCACTCAGGACTGTGTCTGTGGAAACCCATGGAAGGCCTGCATTCCATTGGGGCATGTGTGCGAGCAACTCAGGACCCTCTCTGTCACACAGGGAGGTTTCTAAAATCCGAAACCCTTAACCTCGTTGGTATAGAACGGTGGTCACTGGGTTACAGAGCTGAAAGACTCCATCTGTCATGGAGGTGACACTAGTTATGGCAAAAGCATTAGGAATTGTGCCTGATGTGTGTGGCACAGTGTCCAGCACAGGGTAGGAGTTCCCAAAATGGTGGTGGTGGTGGTGGGGGGGGGTCAGATTACTAGTTGTTGCTGTTTTAAAGGGAAGTATAGCTCCATCACCATTGGGGCTGGCCTTTTCCTATAATTCAAATGCCATGACTGTAAGATATAAATGAGTTTAATTCTAGACCCGGAACTATTCCATTGGCCTAATTGTCGCTCTCTGGGCCAGTACCACACTATTTTTTAAAGAAAGTACTGCTATCTGTTGGAATAAGTTTCCCCACTACATACACATCTTTGGTTTCCTCTTTTAAAGAGTTTTGGCTATTCTTCATGCTTTAATCTTCTGTATGAATTTAAGAATGATTTTGTCAACCTTTGAAAAATACCTTGTTGGAATTTTTATTATAATTATATTGAACTTTATAGACTGATTTCAGGGGAAACTGCTGTTGCGACAAACTCTAATCTTCCCATCAATAAATACAGTTTATATTTCCATCTATTTAGGTATTCTACTATGTTCTTCAATGAAGTTTTAGAATTTCATTTGTAAAAGTTTTGTGCATCTTTTGTTATATTTAGTTCTAGGTACCTGATATGTTGTTGTTGCCATTGAAAAATATATCCTTTTTTAAAAATTACATTTTATAATTTTTGTTGCTGGTGAATAGCAATGTTACCAGTTTTACATATCTGTTTTGTATTCAACAACCTTGATGAACCCTTATTTCTAGTAGTTTATATTTCTTTTTATTTTTGTATGGGTTAGAAATCAGATTAAAGTAATCTTTCTTTTTAAAATAATTTTTTATTGTTGAAAGTATTACATATGTCCCCTTCCCCCCCCCCATTGACCCTCCCAGTCCACTCCCCACCCCAGGCCCTCACTGCCTCATTGTCTGTAGCCATGGGCCATGCATATATGCATACAAGGTTCTTGGATTGTATTTATTATATTTTTCTTTTATAATTCTAATAACTTTATTTCTTTTTCTTTATCACGCTAGTGAAAAGCATCATCCAGTACAATGTTGAGTAGAAGTGGTGATAAGTTATTGTGTTCCTGATCTGAAAGTGAATGTTTTCAACATTTTACAGTTACATATGATTTTTGCCACATAATTTTTTAAATTGCTATAATTTCAGGAGCTGCCACTTACCAGGCTAAGGAAGGTGCTTTCTGCTTCTAGTTCGCTACTGGTGTTAATTATGAAACAATGCCAAATATTATCAAAAGTTGCTCGGCATCTGTTGGCATGATCCAATGGTTTTCTCCTTTAACCAGTGAATATGGTAAATCCCGCCAGTTTGCTTTCTAACTTTAACCATCTTCGCATTTCTAGGATGACTCCAACTTTGTGATGATGTGTTTTTAATAGGCATTTCTGGATTCAGTTGACTAACCATTAATTTAGGATTTTTTGCATCTACATTTAGAAGTGATATTAGCCTTTCATTGTTACTTTCTTGTTCTGTCCTTATCTGAATTTGCCATCAAAATTATTTTACTTCATAGAATGAGGTGGGCAGTGTTCCCTTATTTTATATTCACTGGAACATGTTGTATAAGGTAACAATTATGTTCTTTGAAGTTTGGGTGCTAGTGGAAAAAATCTTCCGGGTTTAATGGGTTGTTTTATTTTAGTCTTTTTTTTTTTTTTTTTTTTTTAGGAAGGAGGGGGTTTTAAAACTTCTGATTTAAGTAAAAAATTTAACCAAAAATTACATTCCTACTCGAGTAGTTTTATGAAGTTATGTTTTTCTAAGATATTGTGCATTTTGTGTATGTTTGTAATATACT